GAACAGATTAAGAGCCAAGCCTATATGTTTACATTCCACTGTTTGTGTAGTTTTAGGGGATTGTGTTGGATAATTAGCCTACCATTGCCTAACAAAGTGGCAAACATTATTTTTTAGAGCAAGGCAGATGTGAATCGCTCAGTTATTGTTCATAGACTATCATGTTGATAACAACTTCAAATAAAAAAATTAGAGCTTGTATCTTGTGATATTCCTATGGGAGGATAAACACCATCAGTTTTGAGTGATAAGTATTGATTTCCTGAATTTTATTTGTGGTGGAATGAGTTTTTTATCGTAGATCCTAAGTGTATGTGGCGTTGACGCATGAGGGTTCAGATATGAACCCTTCTTGTTCAAATGGAATGTCCTTTACTGTTCTTTAGTGTTTAGTCCGATTTCACATGTTACGCTCGTCATTTCGAAATATAATTGAAGACACAAGTGGATAAAAGTGTCATGTAACATTTTTTTAAGGATTTTTTGATTTAACATATAATTAAGGGGTGATTCTTTGATTCTGTGGTTACTTTGTTGCAAAAACAAGATAATAACAAACTAATTTGACTAAATATTTAAAATGTCAGTAAAGTAAAAAGTCCCAAACAATAATGTTTTCTCCATTGAATGATTTTATTACACGACGACTTTATCCACTTGTGTCTTCAATTGTTATTATCACGGCCGCTTTCTATTATTTTCTTGTATACTAAGTGACATATAAATCCGAACACCCAGTTTAAATGGTTTTATTTTAATAAAATTTTGTATAAGTACTTAATGAAGCATAATAATTAAATGATAAAAATTTCAAAATGATTGCACTGCTTTAAAGCCCTTTGACCTTTAATAATGTGTGGATGCACCCTGATGTGCTACGCATTCTCCAACGCGCCTAGGCATGCTTCTGATCAGGTGGTCAATGTCCTCCTGTGGTATCTCATTCCAGGCAACCACCAACTCCTCTCGGAGCGCTTCTAGAGTCTGAGGAGGATGTTGCAAATTGAGCAATCTCCTACCCATCATATCCCACACGTGCTCAATTGGGGATAAGTCGGGAGATCTTGGTGGCCATGGTAACAATGTGACATCATTATGTTGAAAGAAGTCTATTGTGACTCTTGCAACATGTGGTCGGGCATTATCTTCTTGGAAAGTTGGATCTGCCAGGGTATCAAGATAGGGTAAAAGATGGGGTTCTAGAACTTCGTGGATATAACGCTGCGCGTTCATGTTACCTCTGATGAAGATTAAAGGTCACCTGGAACCATAAGCTATAGCACCCCAAACCATAACTCCAACAGTGTGATGAACATGTCTTTCAACAAAAACCTGTGGATTCCTCCTTTCACCACGTCGCCTTCTAACCCTGGCACGACCATCGTGCATGCCTAAACAAAATCGAGACTCGTCACTAAAGACAATACTGTTCCATTCCTGATCCCAGAGTGACCGTTGTCTGCACCACTCAAGGCGATTTCGTCGGTGTTCTCGAGTTAAAGGGAGGACCCAGTGTGGCCGGTATGAAAACAAGCCAAAACTTCTCATTCGTCGGTAAACACTTCGCATGCCAGTAGGTCTTCCGTGTTCTGCAAACCATTCATTTGCAATGGACCTGGTAGTGGAGAAACGGTCCCTTAAGGCCAATAATCATAGGCGGCGGTCTTCACGGTCTGTTGTTCTACGGCGGCGTCCAGTGGCCCTTGCTCTTTGCGTACGGCCTTCTCGAAGCCATGCCTGACAACACCTAACCACTGTGTCAACACTTCTTTGCACTCTAACTGCAATTGCCCGAAAAGAAAGTCCAGCTTCCCGAAGTCCCACTATATGGCCCCTATCAAACTCACTAAGTTGACGAAATCGTACAGGTCTCCGTACTCTAGCCATCGTAACCGATCGTAAAGGATGTCAAGAACCAAAATCCGCCAACGTTGATTCTTTACTGCGGCTGAAATATTCATTTTTAGAGCATTAGTGAATTAAAAAAAAGCAGTATAAAAACCGGAATGTACAATTGATAAGGCTGAAAATTTTTTCACTTGTTATTTACAGTAAGATAAATACATTCACCAACTTTTATTAAAATAAAACCATTTAAACTGGGTGTTCGGATTTATATGTCACTTAGTATATATCTTGCAGGAAGTATTTAAGTTAATTTTTATATTCATACTTTTTTTGTGTACTGAGCTTCCTCCATAGAATCTCGTAGCACTGAATGTGAAATCACTACTTCTAATCTACTCAAAATTACCTCACAACTGCCCAGGTAAAATCCTATTGATCGCAAAGCCGATGACTAGACGAAAAGTACAAATTTAATGTAACATGTCAAACTGTCAACTTAAGCCTGATCGAGTTGTACTATGAACCTGCATACTGACTACTTCTTACATAATTTTGGTTACAAACAAATCGTAAACTTGCTACTTCTATCTAGTAAGAACTCGTTGGGCTTCAGCGAGACAGAGTGCAACTAAGCTAAAGTTAATGTTGATGTCGCTTGTACCGCCTTGTATTCAGTTATCAATAACATCTTTGAGGTCCATGTCCCTAAATGTAAAAATAAAATGTTTTCGTATCCCCCATGGTTCACACGTGAAATCATACTTAATATCAAGAAGAAGGACATAGCAAGAAGGAACTGGAAACGTGACGGTACTAAGTTTTCTTTTGATCAGTTCAGTAATTTTAGGAAGTTCATTAAGAACCAGATCAGTGTTGCCTACTCCGCTTACGTCCAATCGGTTGAGGATGCCATTGTCAATGATCCTAACAAATTCTGGTCATTTGCCCAGATCAAAAAACAGCAATCTAGAATCCCCCCAAGGATGACGCTTAACAGCAATGTCTGCGATACGCCTCAGGATATAGTGGACAGTTTTGCTACCTTCTTTTCAACAGTTTTTATCCCGTCTGGTCTACTAGGGTCATCTCCTCCAACAAATAATTCTACCGATATCATTTCTTTAAAAAATATAAGTGAAGAAAATGTAATTAGGGCTTCGAAAAGATTAAAGAACAAAATGACGTCTGGATGTGATGGTATTCCAAGTTTTTTCGTTAAAGATTGCATTCATATACTAGCGAAACCGCTGGCTTCCATATTCAACCTAATTCTAAAATCAGAGACATATCCAAATATCTGGAAGACCTCTCAAATATGTCCTATTCACAAAAGTGGAGATATCTCTGATATTTCCAACTATCGCCAAATAGCAATCCTGTGCAATTTCAGCAAGTTGTTTGAGATCATCGCTTATGAAACGGTTTACTGCTCGGTCAGGGGTGCAGTCTCTATTAATCAGCATGGGTTTACGAGAGGCAGATCTACGGTCACCAACTTGGCTTTAATTACTCAGTATATTTCTGAAGTACTAGACGGTCAGGGACAAGTTGATGTCATCTAATAATAATAATAATAATAATAATAATAATAATAGCCTTTATTTAACCTGGCGGGTGTCAGCTAAAAGCTGTTTTTCATACCAACCAGGGCCAAACAAAATTATAATACAAAATCTGGGAGACATAAACATTGTTGAGTAACAATAATGAAAAATATCTACACAGATATTCAGAAGGCGTTTGATCAAGTTGATCATTATGCACTTCTGGATAAGCTTAAAACAGTAGGTATGTCTGATGCAATGCTGTCGCTCATGAATTCATATTTGAGGTATAGAAGCTTAATTGTCGAACATGGTGGTCATAGTTCGAGTTACTATCGGGCCACGTCTGGGGTACCTCAAGGGTCAAATGTAGGTCCATTATTGTTTTTAATATTTATTAATGACTTGTCTTTTGAACTGAAGTGTTTCCATTTGTTCTTCGCTGATGACCTTAAAATCTGCACGTCAATCAAGACAGTCGAGGATTGCGTCATGTTGCAAGATGACTTAGCTCTAATTTCGTCATGATGTTCACGAAACTGTCTCAGTCTGAATGTTTCGAAATGTAAAGTTATGACTTATACAAGAAAAGTTAACTATTTAATTTATGATAATAATAACATCAATGGTCAGGTTATAGTCAGATGTACCTCTTTTAGAGACCTTGGAGTCATTTTTGATACCAAGCTAACGTTTACTGAGCATATTCTCAATATCTCGTCGGCTGCCACTCGACTACTTGGTTTCTGTATCAGAAACTGGAAGGGTCTACTCCAATGTTGATACATTAATGACTTTATTTTTTACTTTTGTCAGGAGCAAGTTGGAGTATGCGACTCTGATCTTGTCTCCTATATACCAAAATTCTGTCGTGATCCTTGAGGCCATTTAACGTAAAGCTTTAAAGTATTTTCACCTTAAATGCACAGGTTCTTATCCAGAAAGAGGTTGTGACCATAGTGCCCTATTAGAGTTTTTCAATTTGGATTCACTGTCAATAAGACGAAACATATATGCTTTGTCGTTTTTGTATGGCCTCATTCAAAATAAAATTGACTGTCATAATTTACTTGAAAAAATATGTTTCCGCGTTCCAAGGCTATAGAGTCGACACCAAACGGCATTTTATTGTCAAGCTGGCCGTACAAATGTTATGACAAAATCGCCAATTAATCTCATGTGCTGCGTCATGAACAGTGTTACTGAATCGTGTGATATTTACAGTGACAATTGTGCATCGATTATTAACTGTTATAGATCATCCAATCTTGTTTAGAATGTGTGATACTATAGATTTAAGTCCAAGAACCATGTCTCTTTGAATGTTATTTTTTTCAGCGTTTCCTGTAATTGGGTTTCACCTATTGGAAATAAATAAATAAATAAAGGCATGATTAATGTTTAAGACTTCTGATCTTCCCCATCAAGCAATATCATCTGGTCTCCAATATCACTTATTCTATTAGCCCTACACTTCTTTCTGTAGGCACTTAGATAGTACGGTGTATAATAATACAGCGCTATAACCCAGCTGAAAAGCAATAATCGGGAAGCTATGCAAAATGTTTCAAATCACTCTGAATAACATGTTTCCGTTTCTTGTTTCAGAATAGAGATATCCTCTATGATTGGGACGAAAAAACGCAAGGGCTAATCTTAAGCTCGTTCTACTGGGGCTACGTAATCAGCCACCTTCCAGGAGGAATACTTTCGGAGAAGTTTGGCGGTAAATATTCCTTAGGATTGGGGATACTTTCTACAGCCATTTTCACCCTTATCACGCCTTGGGTCATCTACGCTACTGACGGCAATTGGAAAGCTTTGGTACTTCTGAGAGTGATAGAAGGACTTGGAGAGGTAGTTAAAAATTCTCAAAAAAATAACTCTTCAAGAACCTAACAATCAAACATTAGAAATTTAAAAATACTTCGCTCCTCTTCAATCAGCAACACCGTGGAATATTATTACTATTATCATTAAATATAATTGAGCAGAGCTCGTGTACAAAAGGTAAACGTAGTATACCGATAAGTAGCGTAAAACACATACATCAAGTATACTAAGTGACATACATATAAATCCGAACACCCAGTTTAAATGGTTTTATTTTAATAAAATTTTGTATAAGTACTTAATGAAGCATAATAAGTAAATGATAAAAATTTCAAAATGATTGCACTGCTTTAAAGCCCTTTGACCTTTAATAATGTGTGGATGCACCCTGATGTGCTACGCATTCTCCAACGCGCCGAGGCATGCTTCTGATCAGGTGGTCAATGTCCTCCTGTGGTATCTCATTCCAGGCAAGCACCAACTCCTCTCGAAGTGCTTCTAGAGTCTGAGGAGGACGTTGCAAATTGAGCAATCTCCTACCCATCATATCCCACACGTGCTCAATTGGGGATAAGTCGGGAGATCTTGGTGGCCATGGTAACAATGTGACATCATTATGTTGAAAGAAGTCTATTGTGACTCTTGCAACATGTGGTCGGGCATTATCTTGTTGGAAAGTTGGATCTGCCAGGGCGTCAAGATAGGGTAAAAGATGGGGTTCTAGAACTTCGTGGATATAACGCTGCGCGTTCATGTTACCTCTGATGAACATTAAAGGTGACCTGGAACCATAAGCTATAGCACCCCAAACCGTAACTCCAACAGTGTGATGAACATGTCCTTCAACAAAAGACTGTGGATTCCTCCTTTCACCACGTCGCCTTCTAACCCTGGCACGACCATCGTGCATGCCTAAACAAAATCGAGACTCGTCACTAAAGACAATACTGTTCCATTCCTGATCCCAGAGTGACCGTTGTCTGCACCACTCAAGGCGATTACGTCGGTGTTCTCGAGTTAAAGGGAGGACCCAGTATGGCCGGTATGAAAACAAGCCAAAACTTCTCATTCGTCGGTAAACACTTCGCATGCCAATAGGTCTTCCGAGTTCTGCAAACCATTCATTTGCAATGGACCTGGTAGTGGAGAAACGGTCCCTTAAGGTCAATAATCTTAGGCGGCGATCTTCACGGTCTGTTGTTCTACGGCGGCGTCCAGTGCCCCTTGCTCTTTGCGTACGGCCTTCTCGAAGCCATGCCTGACAACACCTAACCACAGTGTCTACACTTCTTTGCACTCTAACTGCAATTGCCCGAAAAGAAAGTCCAGCTTCCCGAAGTCCCACTATACGGCCCCTATCAAACTCACTAAGTTGACGAAATCGTACAGGTCTCCGTACTCTAGGCATCGTAACCGATCGTAAAGGATGTCAAGAACCAAAATCCGCCAACGTTGATTCTTTACTGCGGCTGAAATATTGATGTTTAGAGCGTTAGTGAATTAAAAAAAGCAGTATAAAAACCGGAATGTCCAACTGATAAGGCTGGAAATTTTTACACTTGTTATTTACAGTAAGATAAATACATTCACCAACTTTTATTAAAATAAAACCATTTAAACTGGGTGTTCGGATTTATATGTCACTTAGCATAAAAACAAAAAGTTCATAGCTATAAATTTTTTTCACTATTCCACTGACAAGGTCATTGCATCTCTGATATGGCTAGTGTCATCTGACGGAGGTCCCAGCAGTGAGAAGCGCAGGATTTTGGCAGGGATGGAGCTCCTATATATGTATATAGCAAGACCTTGAGAAAAAAGAAATATAGTCAGCTAATACTGAGAAGCCACCGAAAAGTAGTTCTGCGCGTGGTATGCGCCTACAGAATGGTGTCGACAGATGCACTGTTGATGGTAGTTGGTATCCCGCCAATTGATTTGCTGGCTGCGGAGAGATGGGCACTCTATAAAAGGGCGTCGAAGATACAAGCGATGAAAGAGCGGTGCTTTTTGTCGAATGGCGGGAGAGATGGGATGCAAGTGGCCATGGTGCATGGACCAGAAGGCTGATTCCAGATATTAAAACTTGAATTGGCAAGGGAGCGATGCGGATAGATTACTATACTGCACAGCTCCTCACGGGACATGATTGTTTTGAGAGCGAATTACGTATATTGCAATGAAGAGGAGGATACTCCTAATCACCTACTAGGATGTGGTAGGTGGGTTGACTACCAGACACGGCTGGAACTGACTCTGGGCAAGAGGCTCACTGTTGCGAAGTAAAACGGGTTGACATTCAACCAATAATGAGACGAATGATGCTGAGTTAGGTACGGGAGACCAAAAATAGACCAAGGAACCAATAGTAGGTTTCTATTTTGCTCGGTGGTACATGCACATACGTATAAAAGTATATACAGGGTGACTTTGAAGTTGAGTCATTAATTTGCAGATAATGACTGTAGAAGGAAGATAAGCCAAAATATGTGTGTAAAAATAAAAAAAAATAAAAAAATGTTACCTTGTTTTATAAAGTATCCTCCCGACAAGTATTTCAGTGCGGACCAGTATTTGATCGTGCGGTCTTGGAGCACCTGCATGCGCTCCCCTGTGAGGTCTTAAGTCACCTGATTCACGAGCCATTTGTACTACATTAACAAAGGCACGAGGGGTTGGTCGCACTCGATTGGGAAACCGATCCGCATAAATCCGTGATGCCGCGGCAGCATTTTGTAAAGACTCCAACCACCCCCCCCCCCTCACGCATTACTGACTGACACACTGACTGAATACAACTGAATAAAATTGTAGTAAAAACATCGTGATAAGCGTTTCAAATTATTTCGCTTTTTTGTTTCCAATGCGATGAACCGATAAGGCGGATTATATCCGTTGTTGCCAAACACGAGCACATAATATTATTATTGAGACAGGGCGGTACTCAAACTTCTAAAGGGCTATAACTTTGTTACTTTAATTTTACCAGAAAAATGTTAAAGGAAAAAAATATTTCTTTTCATCAGATCTACTCACTGTTAAAATAAATGACTCAACTTCGAAGTCGCCCTGTATGTGTACGATAGAGAATAGATGTCGAGTTTTTCTGCCTAAGAGTGACTATAAAAGCTTGATATAGATCAGATATTTCTCTATTATTTTATTTGAAAAGATGGTGTTATGGGTATAGCATTTTTTTTATTGTTTTTTTTTTATTCTTCGCTGATTAACACAGACAATTTTTGGCCTCGTCAGTGAAAATATCTACTTTTCAAATACACGACTCTGTCGGAGATGAAAATTCTATTTTGATGTGAAAACACACCATACTTTTTTCCAGGGTACAACATATCCTGCTCTAACTGCTCTGCTAGCAAAATGGGTACCTCTTGGTGAAAGAGCGAAAATTGGAACTTTAGTATACGCTGGAAGCCAAATTGGTGAGTACATACAAACTAGTCTCTTCGAAAGTGCAAAAAACAACACTATACAGGGTGCTCCGTACTTGAAAGGACCTATTGAAGTGGTAGGTAGTATGGACCGAGACCTTTCCATATGTGAAAATGAATGTTCTAAATTTATATTTTACGGATACACGGGATAATTTATCTAAGCTTGTCAAATCTCACATATCTCAGGCACTATTGATTCGATTTCATTCAAGGACAGACCCGATATTTTTTTTCTAAGCTAAATATTGAAATTTTTGACTATGTACAAAATAGACAATAAATGGTACTAAGTAATCAGCAAAATAGATTGATTGTGCTGATTTTGGTTTCTAAGTTAATTTTTTTTATTTATTCAAATATCCCATTTTTAGCAGTTTATGTAACACAAAACTCAAAATTTAAAGATTTATCAAATTGGTTTCGTCTACATTCTACAGAATAATGCTTAAAATTGAACTAAATATGTTTGGGGAATTCAAAAATCCAAGGTTAAATTCGGTTTTTTATGACATTGTATTTTAAAAAGTGGAACACTCCGTAAGTTATTCTCTGAATGTATTATTATATTGCAGAAAAACATAGCATACGATAATACAGGGTGTGAACGTTATGGTAGTCATTATTGAAATGGGTAATAGGGGGGGGGGTCAACACAATCAAAAGGTTCATATGACCCATGGTCCAAAAACCAATAGATTTTTGTCTAAATGGCTTTATAGTTTACAACTTTAACTGCTTTATATCGACCACAATCTTACTAATTTTTATAATCTAATCTAAAACGTTCTTAAATTGGGTAATTAACAAATGAATGGCATTTTTTCTAAGTTAGGCCAAAATTTGTAGTCAGTAAGTAAGTTTCATTGAATTGAATATTTAAAACACACATGACAACAGCGCGTCGGTCATCATCACTCTTATCGAACCAGCAATCAATCGCAAACGGTAACAGTGGTTAGTATGTTGTTTTGTGTCTGTTCGCGTACGTCGTCGTGTTGATTTACAATGTTCCTACCAGAACTTTTGGAACAGACGTTAGACAACATGCCATTACAACGGAGACAGAATTTGTGGTTTCTTCATGACGGGGCACCACCACACATTTTTAGAGGCGTCATTCAGTATTTGAATGAACATTATCCAAATCGCTGGATCGGTCGAAATGCTCGTGATCCTCGAAAATGGCCAGCAAGATCTCCTGACCTCAATCCGATGGATTTCTGGTATTGGGGAGAACTTAAAGGGATGGTTTATGGGGCTGGTCCAATAACAACTGCAGCACAACTTCGCGAAAAAAATTTTAATGCGGCTGAAATAATAAATGGACAACTTCCAGGACCTAGAGTAAGAAGAAACTGGACACCTTCTTTAAATACAAAAAAGTGCAATGTGGGTTTTAAAAAGAAGAATAATGTATGTATCGAAATTGTGCTCCCTATTTATAGGTGGATTTTTTTAATACGTTCAATAAACTTTCACACACCAGGTAAAGCGCTTAGACAGTTAGTGGTAAGTCCGTTTTTTAATTGTTTGCATTTTACGAGTACATTATCAAATAATCCAATAATACCTAAGAGCAGCCAAAAATAACAAACTCCATCTTTATATCTTTATAATATTTGTGTGTTAACTGCATTTTATAAGGAAACAAATGCAAATCATCCTTCAAAATGCGCCGCAACGTGGTTCCACTGATGCCAAACTGCTGAGCGCGGTGACGATACGACACTTTTGGGTTCTGGGCGACGCTGTCTCTGATCGCTTCAACCAATTCATTGGAACATCTTCGTCGTTGATGAACGGTATGTTGACGATCTCCCACTGTCCTGTACTCAAGAAAATTCGAAACCAAACGACGGATAGTGTTGTCAGACGGTGTTTGTTTGCCACGATATTTTCTACGATATGCACGTTGCGTTAACACAACTGGACGACAATTTTCAATGTACATTGTGACTATTTCGGCGCGTTGTTTCGGTGTAAAGCGATTCATGACTAAAATTGTAGTAAATTGACGTTTCAGAAACACGTATAACCAAATCACTCGGTTGGAAAATATCAAAGTCATTCGATGTTTCAATACCGACATAAAAGATGGCGCACCCGGTGCTACGTATCTGATTTTTCATGCAAAATAATAATAATTTAGAATATATCTTACCGAGCGTTGCACTTGATAAAATACAGAGAAATAAAAATGATAAATTATTTCCCAAAAGAATTCTATTACAATTTTAGGCTTTATTTTGTAAAAGTTTGATGAAACCAAGTCGATAACCCTTGAAATTTGATTAGTTTGCCAGGAAAATATTGTTTTCTTCGACATGCTGCAAAACTAGATACTAAACAGCTGTTTCCAAAATGTTTGAAATAACCGACAATAGGCTGATAAGTGGCAAGTCAGAAAAGTCATCTGGATTGTGATTTTTTGGTACAGGAACTACTATGGATTTTCTCCATGCTTAAGGAAAGTACCCGTCCTCAAGGCAACTGTTAATGATATGCGTGATAAAGAGCAGTGTTAATGTAAATATCACTAGGTTCTGAAAGGGTAGAACAAAATGAAGGGTAAGACAAATAATAGGGAATGTCCTATTGAACTGATTTTAAGAAAAATGTAATTTAAAGTTTGAAAGTATATTATTTTTATTGAGGTCAAAGTATGCAGTAACTTTTAATTAAATGTTTTATATCTAGCACAATTTTGTTGTTGGACCTTTCAATTATTAAACATATTTAAGATTGAACAAACACCAAATGAAACATTTTGAAACAAGTAAAAACCGAAGAATGTCCAATTCTGTTATCAGAATCATTGGTTTTTAAATCATATTTTAGTTTCCTACTGTCTTTTAAACTTTAAATGACAATCTGATTAAAACCTTTTTCCTCAATCTCTGATGCCAGTTTTTGACGATTCTGATTCTCTTTGACTTACTGGAGCTTCCTCTGTTGTTTTTATGCTTTTGTAGATATTTAACCTTTTCTTTGATAACTCCATGACGTGCAATGAATGCTCATACAGGCACATCTTTCGTAACACGATTGTTGATATCTTTGTTTTTCTCTGTATGAAAATTTGTCTCATCTTCAAACTTCCTGCTTGTTCTTCGCTTCAGATGATAAACAATTATAAGCCCTGACAAAAAAGAGTATCTGTTCACTGACACTATTTCATAATATTTCTTTGATTCATATTTTTATAACTATTGAACTTTCTTCTCATGAGAAAAAAGTGGCAACTTTTTCATTACATCTTCGGTTTTACCGGTTTTCTTTCTTTCCTTTCTTGCTCTGTTAATAATACTCTGATTATTTTCATCATTATCTGAATCAGAAAACATATTCAACTTCAAATTATCATACCATAACTTTATATAAATTCTAATCTCAAAATTACAGTTGTCATTCTGGAAAATCCTTCTTCTTTGTCGGTATGACGTGGACATTCCCAATTCTTTTTGTTTCCGCCATTAACAAACATGTATTTTGGCGGTATCTGTTTACTTATTTTAGAGGCTAATGATTGGAAATTCAAATATCATATACAAGGATTTGATACCAATGGAAATTTAAAAAAAAATGTGACATTCCCTATTCTTTGCCTGTACCCTTCAAATACGCATTCCCAGAATTCATTATCGTTATAGTAGGTGCATAGACATCGTCTGGAACAGAGCCAGAGTCCTAAACTGTCATAAAATATCGATTGTTACTGTCGGGATGGTCAGGTATACGTAGTTGTTTTTCCTGAAGTCACTTGCTTGCTTTTTAAGTCTGACCACAGTTTCATAGAATTCTTAATCAACAAAATTTATACAGGGTGTCCGCAAAGTTGGGGTTTTCCTTTACACGACGTGTAGATCTTGAAAACATAAGCAATTTTTCTTAGTACCATATACACCAATGTCTTAAGGGAACCGAGATAAAGGGCTCTGCTACATCAAACATTTCTGAATACCGTCCTGTAGCCGCGACATCACCGACTGGTACAAGGTCACTGGCTCAACCCGACGACAGAACTGGGTCGGGGTCAGTGTGTCAGGTCAGTATGCAACCTTCAACCGACGGTTACGGTCACGCGTGTAGAGGTAATCGCGTAGACGAGAATCCCTCAAAAAGCACTAGAGACGTGGTTAGAGAAGTGCAAGTATCAAAAACTGTCAAACGCTGCGTGAAGAGGGGCTGTATCCGTTTCACGTCCAACGTGTACAAGCCCTTCAACCTGACGATTTTCCAGCAAGAGTGCGGTTTTGTGAGTGGTTGTTGCATCAACATGACAATAATCCGGACTTTTTGAAGTGCATATTGGTGACAGACGAATCTACGTTCACGCGTAATGGAGTCAATAACTTTCGCAACACTCAGGTTTGGTCAGTAGAAAATCCGCACGCTGTCCGTCGGGCACATTTTCAACAAACATTTTCGGTGAATGTTTGGGCTGGCATGGTGAACGGTATGCTCATTGGACCATTTATTCTCCCAAATCGATTGGACGGGATGCAATACCTAGACTTTTTACGCAACATGTTGCCTTCCTTGTTAGAAGATGTGCCATTAAGTGTAAGACAATCAATGTGGTTTCTGCGTCTGCTCGGTAGCGCATCAGCTGATTTCATTTTCTGTTGGAGCGGTATGATTTCGGGCAGAGACGTACTTAACCCTTCTCGTCAACTGGAGAGTGAGTACTTTTTCCTTTATTTTTTTTTTTTACTTGGTAGCCCTGGTTTCACTACACATTACCTTTGTTATTTCAAGGGTAGTTGTTTCTGAAAAGGTAAACCCCAACTTTGCGGACACCCTGTATATGCTTTTTAATCAAACGCAACGGATATGTGAGCCAAGGTGCCTAAGGCTTACTCACACGGACTGTTCTTAGGAGCATACATGTCATATGCATCACGCGGGATTTCTGTAAAATATTTTACTTTATCATCAATATTCGGTATGTTACACATGTTGATAAAATTTGTAGATTCCAAATTTTCCAGGAAGGCATTTTTATCAAAAATGCGGCGTATAGCTCGAAAACGGCTAACTTTAGAGGAAAATTACTGAGGATACGAGGGCGGTTCAATAAGTACCAGTGTTTGACGACAGAGGGCGTTCCTGAGGGAAGTTAGTGTTATCATCGTGTGGTGCCATCTATCAAAGGACGGCACAACAAATTTGAGACTGATTGATAGGTTAGTTTGGACTTAGCAGCCATTCAAGTAACACGTGTTTCGTGATTTTCGCTAAGATGGAAAAAGAGCAGTATCGTTCGGTAATTCGCTTTTTGTTTTTGGATGCGAGGAGATAAAAGCAAAATTGGATACTGTGCTATGGGAACACCTCGTCATTTATGGCCACAGTTAGATATTGGTAAAACAAATTTAAACGTGGGCGAAGATCCGTTTTTGATGAGAATCGACCAGGACGCCCGACAGACGTAGTTACCGAGGAAATGATTCAAAAAGTCCACATGATTCTCGCTGATCGACAAACGAAAGTTCGCGAAGTAGCAGATGCCGTAGGTGTGTATTTTTTAGAAAAAGGAAGAGCGATCACTGGACAATACTATAGTGAGTTATTGGACCGCTTCGACAAAAAATTGAAGGAGACGCGGCCACATTTGACGAAAAAGAAGGTGCTGTTTCACCACGATAACGCATCAGCACATTCATCCGGAGTTGTCGCCGCCAAACTGCATGAATTGCGTTATGAAGTGCTGCCGCGTATTCACCCGATCTGGCCTCCTGCGACTTTTTCTTATTCCCTGACATGAAGAAACGGCTCGCGGGGAAAACATTTAGCTCAACCGAGGAAGTCACCGCCGAGACATGCGTATTTTGGCAAGTTCGACAAATCCTATTTTTTGGGGGGGTTGAAAAACTGACAGGAACGTTGAGAAAACTGCATCTTTCTAAAAGCGGATTATGTTGAAAAATGAAAAGAATTTTTTTGGAAAAAATTCATATCTAACGCGGGTACTTATTGAACCGATCTCGTATGTCTTATCCAGAATGATCCGAAAATTAAAAAAAATAGTCGAAGTAAAAAAATAATTGTAATAACTTGGCATTTAAAAAAAAATAGAAAATAAAACTCAGAAATAACGTTTTTTAGATGCCTGTGAGCCAAAAACTTTTGTGTCAGCCGTGCCTGGAAAATCCACCTCGCAAATGATGAGATGGAAAAGAAACTGGTTTGAACCCTAGGTGACCCTACTATTTACATTCCATATACTCTTATTTCGAATCCACCAGGTCCATCTCGCTTGTGTCTGAAATTCCAAAAATGATTAGAACCCATGGCAATAAAGCTTATTATCCAGACTTTGCATATCTCTGCCTTTGTAATTTTACCTGAAAGATTTAAGAAAGGTAGAGACTGACCAACAATGAAATACTATATGTGTGCCTATTCTTTAAGATATTACCCACGGGCGTACGCAGCTTCAAAAAAATATTTGTTGGAAGTGCCACTTTACTATGCTTCTTTATCCTTCCTTCCACGATGATCTGATAATAATACGCATATAAGTAATACGTCTAATCATATTAGACGAAAATACCGCTGATTTGCGAAATAATTGTAAAGTCTGGTTCTATTGCTGCAAGTATTCAAAACATGGACGCATAAAATGGGTACATCAATTTTTGTGGGAAAACTTTTTGTTCGACAACAAAGAATGAGATAATGCATTTTTTGGGATTCAATCGAAAGTACTGTCAGGAACTCTTCATGTGAGATTTTTAGATATTTATGAGACCTACAAAATGAGACAACACGTAAACAGATACGACTAATAGCAAGAAAGTTATGGCCGAAAATCGAGGCAAACTGCAGGTTTTGGCACTTCTTGATAATGCGACGATGGTTCGTCGCAGATATTTGAAATTTTCCAAATTCGTAGGAACCACAACAAAATTGGAGTAGATTGCCGAAGCAGTTTCTGAGAATTTTTAATTGTTTATCCCAAAACACCTGTTTTCCGGCCATCACTACTAGTTTATTGAGCAATATACAGGGTTTGGACCTCGGTTGGCCGCGTGTGTCAGAGTGTCGTGCGACTGATCAGCCGGCCGGCCGGGCCGCGAGTTCGAATCTCGCCTTCGCCATGGATGATGTGACATCGTGGGTTTGTCCATAATTAGAGATATACATATACAAGATTGGATCTGGCTAATGGGACGCAATGTCCTAGTGCCAAAAAAAAAACAGGGTTAGTTCAAGCGGCATTTTATAGCAAAATGCATTAGTTTACCTTGCGGATATGAATCGCAAACCATTCCGGAAGAAAGGATGGGTTACGTTTTTTTCTTCTAAGCAAATTCAAACATTTCGTATTTATGAATAATTCGTAACAAAGGATGATAGACACATCCGCTTTGTTTTAGAAAGTGTATAGTAAGGTGTGTTTTTCGAATATCGTAGCGCATTAAGTCAATTACTCAAAAATACGAAATGTTTGAATTTATTTTGAAGAAAAAAACGTAATCTTCGTTTTTGCATAAAAATAACATTTATCTTTCGGAATGCTTTCTGAATTATATCGGGAAGGTAAACACGTGTATTTTGCGATTAAATTCTTTTAGGACGAACCCTCTACATTTCTCAATAAACTAGTAGTGATGGCCAGAAAACAGGTATTTTGGGACAAACAATTAGAAACTGTCAAAAACTACTTGACCAATCTACTCCAATTTGAAGAATTTCAACTAGTTACGTGAAATTATCATCGCATTACCAACAAGTGCAAAAACCTGCATTTTGCCTCGTTTTTCGGCCATAACATGCTATTAGTCTGATCTTTTCACGTGTGGTCTCATTTTGTAGATCTCATAAATACCTAGAAATCTTGTATGAAAAGTTTTTTCGTTCCTGTCAACATTTTCGATTGAACCCCAGAAAAACGTCTTCTCTTTCTTTGTTGTCAAAACTTTTATCACAAAAATTGGTGTACCCATTTTATGCGGCAATGCTTTAAACACCCCCTTGAAAAACTTGCAATACTTTGAACACTTCTACGATGATTCTATTTAGTACTGTAAATTTTGTATAAATACTCATAGATCTAAAATTCGTCATTTCTGTGTTACCCATATTATTTTTTAAATTTCCCTCAAAATTCATTCAATTTCCTTTCCACCTGTCCCCCCTCATGGATACACCAGTGGTATTGCCTGATTTGCATTTATTCTTGGTTCTGGGTGTAATAAGGGTGTTTATTCCAAGTCAGGTACTGTAAGATAAGCCCCAGCATTCTGAGATTTTATCTGCGGGTGCCATAAAAATGTAGGAGGATTTTAGATTTTCTGGTTCTAATAAACCACTAGAAACGACCCAAAGTGAGGAAAAGGATAATCGCAGACAACGCGCCGTGTCTCTATGCTATTTTACGCCGTTTTGGAATAGCAACATAAATATAAATCCCGACATCAAACAGATGAGCAGACTTTTTGGGTAAGCGCATATCGCAAATATTTCATTTCTTATTTTAAAATGAAAGATTAGGATGTAACTTTCACGAAAATATCATTTTTTCTTTAAGGAACCCTCTGCTTGCTATTTTATAGAACTTCAAAGTTGTTTATGGTGGTAATAATCTAGAATAACTGTTTTATACGGTGTTTTTTTTTTTTGGCAATTTGCACCAAATGACGGTCGAAATTGCAAGAATATAACATAAACTGTATAGTACTAAGGAAAATAGATGTGAAAGTATAAAGAATCGTTGGTTTTTCAAAGAAAAAGGTTAAAAACTAGCCTTATAATAAGCTAAAATGACAATTCCAAATACATACCACAAATGATGGTTTCTTCTGGGTAAACTGTTTAGAGGTGTTGTGTTAAAAGTTCCCAATGCTTTCTTGAAGCCTCTTAACTTTTTTTTTAAGTTTCTTCAAAGACATTGTAGTTTTTGCGTTCATAATAAATGTTTGAAAGTAGACACAATTCTCAACTGCCATTTTATAACTTTCATTTCTTGACAGATAAGAGAAATGTTGTCCATTGTTGCCAAATTGTACGTTTTGCTAGGAGAAATACGTAGATCAAAGATCAAGTTATTTGAAATATGAATGTGTTACGAAAATGGCTTGTTTTCTAAGTAGTTAACCCAATATTTACTGAAAATAAGTAGTATGTGCATAAACAGTGAAAAATTCACCAGCAGCTAGTGAGATTTAAGAAAACAAGGAGGTAGTACCAACAGAAATTGCATATAAAAATACATCATAGTTATTTATCGATCGTTTAGCCACCACATATGGTGTTTCCAGGAAGCACCACCTGGAGGCGATCGATAATCACTTCCCAATGTCTTGAGTAACTCATGATTAGAGATTCACCTTGTAAAAGGCGATATTTGCTTTTTTATTAGAAGCATTTAGAACTGATAATCAGATCTAACTGCATCTAATAAAAACGCGAAGAGATTGATTCCGCGAACGCGATAGTGCCTACGCCGAATATATTCGCAGAGAGCGTCTGCAAGTTCTTCGACAGGCGCATGTCCGCTGCAGAAATAATCTTTCGCTGGCCTCCAGGTCGCCTCTATGTGCTGGGTGTTGGTGACGTCAGGAGCTGAAAGATAAATAAATATACATAGTTGTGTACATACATGTCTAGGTAGAATAAACAAATGTAAATAACTTATCAACAAAGCGGTTTTCAATCCATTACGAACCCCTTTCCACTTCAGTTGGCCCACTTCAAGATTTGTACCAAAATATAGCTTTATAAACTAAACATGACGAAACTATTTACTTCTAAAACAATTTACTTTCTCAAAAACATTTTAGATACACTCTAGTCGTAAAAAATACATATTTGAAATCACTTAGACCTATAACTAATAGAATATCTGAACAAATAAACAATGTGCGAATAAATGCGCGAAGTTAACAAAGCAACAATTGAAAGATTACCATTGGGTAACATCACCTTTATTTTTTATTACGGCTGAAATTCTTTGGGGCATAGAGTTAACCAAGTTTTGGTGAAAATTTGGTGTAAAACACTCCCATATTTCTTGAAGCTTTTGTCTCAGTTCGGTGCTTGTACGAGCAGGATGTTGTCGCAGAACCTTTTTCATCTCGTGCCACAAAGTTTCAATAGGTGACAGATCTGGACTGCTAGAAACCCATTTCAAAAGTGGTACATTATTTTCTTCCATCCATTTTATAGCCTTTTTTGAGGTATGGCACGCTACACCATCTTGCTGAAATACAAAATCTTGGCCGAATGTCAAACATTCTTCCATCACTGATAAAAGCGATTCTTCTAAAATTGCCAAATATTTGTTTGTATTCACATTTCCATCAATAAAATGAAGTTTTCCTACTCCATTTGATGACATACTGCCCCAGACCATAATGGATGCTGGAAAATTCACTTTTCTCTTCAGACAGTCAACATGGAATGCTTCATTTTTTTTTGCGAATAACTCTACTGCGACTGTCACCAACAAAAACTTCGAATCGGGCCTCATCACTCCGTTGTATTGCACACTATTGTTGAGGTGTCCATTGTCTATGTTCTTTAGCCCATCTAAGCCGATTTTTTTTTTTGCAGTGGAGTTAATAGTGGCTTTTCTTTGGCCTATAAACAAGTTGTGCAACTTTAGGTTTTTTACTTCACTTTTTTTTATAAGAAAACTTACCTTGCAAGTGCTAAATCCCAGTTTGTGGGCCTCTCTATGAGTTGTGGACCTCGACATTCTCCTTCCAACAGCGTCACTCCACATAGCACTTAATTGTAAATAATTGGCACGCCTGTTTTTCACGATTATTCTTCTTAATGCTCTTCGGTCGGCATTTGTGATATTACTTTTTTTCACATATCGTGGCTTAATATTAACTGAACCAGTTACGTTATATCTTCTAACAATATTTCTCACACTGTACTGCGATAAGTTTAACAAAGTTGCAATTTCTGAGTTTGATTTCCCAGAATTAAAAAATTTAATTATCAGTAACCGAATTTTCTCACTAATAACCTTTCCTCTACCCATTTTGAAAACCTTAACTACCCAAAACTATTTTAAACGTATTCTGATAGCTGTGATTAATAAAAACAATTGTCATGGCTTTTATTTTTCACAGCTACCTATGCGTTATAGACTTATTTTGCATTGAAATGAAAATAGGTTGATGTGCTGTAATTGCAACATGTGTTATTTTTATGCTGCAAATTTGATTAGGGAGTGATAAAGTTGGTCGTTTCTACTATATATTATCAAAATATTCATTGTTAATACTTTAAACCTATAACACCCTACTACATTTTTATTATTTGTGTTTGATAAGAAAAAAACTAAGATTTCAATGCCCATCACATATCCGTATGGATCTCGGATCCGGGACGAACATATTGTTGAATTATGGGGATGAGCCTCTCGGCATTCCTGACATCTTATCTTCCCGATTTTTCGATAATCCCTAGTACCCAGTGGCCTTCGATGATCCGCCCTCGATTATACTTGTGCTTGCCAAACTTGGATTCGTCGATTTGGACCACTGTGCCAGGTCCACCCAACATCTCATCGTCTAGTGTTATTGTTGAAAAATGATCAACAATCATTTCTCGACAATACTGTACCTAATAAATGTATCTTATAACATAGATATACTTTAATAAATTCATAGCTAGCAATGGTAGGTGGAGAAATATGTTCAGCACCAGGATTATCTATTTCATGGGCAGCGACTCTATAGCTCCACCCTCTCGTGAAAGCATTCATAAGTGTATAAAAAAAGTCAATAAGATACAATTACAATTTTGACAAGCATTATAATCGTCAGATTTGAATTGGTGAACGTTTTTCTCTATATTTATACTGCTTAAAATACAATCATCATTCTTATTCAATAATAATAGTACAAACATTCTAAGAATAAATGAATTATAATGCTATATTGGAAAAAAATTAACCGATGCACTTTTGGGAAGGGCATACGACATTCTTCAAAAAAAGTGCTATTGGATATAGGTATACTTTATCTGAAGTCACTTGAAACACTGTGAAATACCGGGTGCGTTTTATATATCTATATTTAACACGCTCTGTTGCTGCAAAAATCGACAAATTTCGCAGCAAATATAAGATCAAAGGCAGTTTCACCGGTCCACGTGGAGTAAAGCACGCCTATGCGTGGACATAGCCAATGAGAAAGCGTGTATTTCAGAGCTCCGAACAAGTGCAGGTGGCTACTAAAAATTGAAACAGTTTAGCCAGTGCCGTGTAGCGGTGAATAAACGTGTTTTGTTTAGTCTGTCCGTGTTTTTTCATAGATTTTATTAGTTTGTGTGTTTTTGACTTTTGAATATTCAGTTTACTTCTTGATTTAATTGTTGTGTTGTTTGTTCTTGTGTGTCCTAAATATGGCTCTTTGGAGACCTTGGGAAAATGCTCCAAGCCACGAGGAGATGGTTGATGAACCTGTGCAGGCAGAATTCTTTCATAAAGATTTAGAGGAACAGACCCAAAGAGTAATAATAAATATGTATGATTGTCTGAAAAACGAAAATCCAGATTCCTCGCAAAATCAAATTTTAAACAGAATTTGTATCCTGACAAAAATCAGTCGGTCTACCATTTATCGGGTTATAAGAAGGGGAGATGTAGTCAACCATTCCTTCCACAGAAAGCGCATAGGGCAAAAATTAAAAAGAATAGACGTGGGTTTTCAGGAAGATATTCGTCGTATAATATACGGATTTTATAAAGAAAATTTGGTGCCCACGTTGGAAATGATACGGGATAAATTAAAAGATTATCCTGAAGATTTTTATAATTACAAATGCTTACATACTCACTGCACTGTATTGTAAAACTGTGTGGTTTTCAATACAAAAAATTAGATAAAAGAATGGTGATTATGGAGTCGTCTCGAATCGTTGAATTGCGCCAAGAATTTTTGCACAAAGTTAAAATCTATAGAGAGCAGAAAAGAGATCTGATTTACCTGGATGAAACGTGGTATGATACCCATGATGTTGTGCAGTACGGCTGGGTTGACGACAGCAACAAGTGCATTTTAAATGCACCATGCAACCGTGGAAAACGAATCATTATTCTCCATGCTGGCAGTGAAAATGGATTTATACCTAATGCCTTGCTGTTATCTGCCAAAAATATCAAAGAATCATGTGCCGACTATCATGAGGACATGTCCTCCGACTTATTTGAAAAGTGGATAGAGCAGCAGTTAATACCAAACATTTCCCCAAATTCAGTGATTATTATGGACAATGCGCCATACCATTCCCGACAGAAAAACAAAATTCCGAATACAGGCACAAAAAAACAAGACATTATTGATTTTATGAAGGATAAGGGAATGGAAATACCACAAAAATCAACCAAAGCCATATTATTGGATCTTATTAAAAGACAAAAATTTGAAAAAGAGTATGTTGTTGACAATCTGCTTCAGCAAAATGGCCATGAGGTATTACGTCTACCTCCTTATTACTGCATTTTTAACCCGATTGAGTTGGTCTGGGCTGCTTTTAAAAAAAAGTAAGAAAACATAATCAGACCCCTCAATTAAGTGAATCGCTATTGGCCACAGTAAGAGATGCAGTATCTCATATTGCTGCCACAGACCTATGGAAGCAGTGTTCTAGGCATATTATTGAAAAAGAAAATGAATATTGTGTTTTGCCTCCTGTAAATCCCGTTGTAATTCCTCTACAAGATGACTCTAGCGACAGCTCCGAAGGCGAGGATGATATATAAATACCTATAATGTAAGTCTTTACCTATATACCTTTTTATATACCTACCTGCTATGTAAATATTTGCCTATGTCAAACGTTGGAATTCTGTAATTTTTCCATTTCTTAACTTTCAGTCAACATAAATTAAACTCCCAATATAAGTATTTTTTATCCCAAATCAAAAAAATAAGAAGATAGTAAAATCCATTTATTGTGATATAAAAACATTATTATTATCGTTCTAAATAAATGACCGCACGCCTATGATACGTCATGAAATTACAAGGGACGCGCCGACCAAAGGTTTTTATGCTATTTCAAGTGACTTCAGATAAAGCATACCATATGACAGGAAGCAGATTTTGGACAGTAAAATCTGCCGGCCACACCTCCGAATCTTAGTTTTATCGCCAGCCTGTACCGATTGCACAGTTTTGCCATCGGAAATAATCCCCGTACAAAGAACAGACCATTATAGTATAGATACAATTGCGAGGGATATCTTTTAAGTTTTGCATATAGAAACATAGTAGGCCGCGCGGATCGAACGTCAGTACTGAATCTTAACCTCACTCTTTAGTAAACTTAAATTCAAAGTTTCACAACAATACGTGCAGTGTTCTCACTACAGTGAATTTTTAAGTGTCACCAAGACGTTAGCAAAATGGAACTCAACCGAGAACATTTTCGCGCCATAATTTATTACAACTTTCAGAGAGAATTATTGCAAACAGAATGCCTTGCTGAGTTACTGTCTGTTTCCAGTTGGTATGGAGAATTCAAACGTCGACAGGTGAGTCTTAGGCCCGTATCGTCAGTCGTCCCTACAATTGTAGGGCGCCTTTATGGCCTCCTTGATTGTCATAGTTTTCTACTTCTCCGTCTCAGAACTCTATTTTGAGGTTGTGTCACAAACATCTATTTGCATCAAATTGTGCTTGCTTTTGAGTTATATCATGTTTTATCAGCCTGAAATTTCCTACAATTTAAAAAGAAAACATATCTTCACAATAGAAGAGCGCTGACGTTAACACGGGACAAGTGTAGTCTAGAAATTTTTGAAGGAGAGAAAGGAGTATGACAATCAAGGAGGCCATAAAAACGGCAGTCGCCCAGGAAAACGTCGATGCTGTGCGCAAACTCATCATTGAAGATAGACATGTGACATATCGCGAGATTTAGGCGACCTTGAAGGTCTCAAAGACCTCAATTCAAAAAAATGTACATGAAGAATTAGGAGTAAGAAAATTAGTTTCTCGTTGGATACCCCACCTGTTACTGAAGAGCAGAAAGCAGCCAGGGTTAATTGGTGTCAAAAAACACTTGACCGTTTCAATTCCGGAAACTCAAAAAATGCGTACAGCATTGTTAGTGGTGATGAATCGTAGATTTTCTGTTATGAACCAGAAAATAAACTACAGTCGGCTGTTTGGGTGTTCCAAGGTGAAGAAAAAAACACAAAAGTCAGCCGTTCTCGTGTTTCGAAAAAGATGTTCGCGACATTTGTCAAAAGCGGGTCATATTGCAACGATTCCTCTTAATGATCAAAGAACTGTTACAGCGGATTGGTATACCCCGAAAGAAGAATCATCCTCCACCAAGACAATGCAAGCTCGCACGCAGCCCAAAAAACAAGGCAGTATTTAACGGAAGAAAACGTGGAATTATTGGACCATCCTCTATATAGGCCCGACCTAAGTCCTAACAATTTCTTTACTTTCCCGAAAATTAAAAACAGACTGCGTGGTCAAAGGTTCCAGTCACCAGAAGAAGCAGTTGACGCATTCAAAAATGCCGTTTTGGATCTGCCAGCAATCGAGTGGAATAAGTGTTTCGAAAATTGGTTCGAGCGCATGGAGATGTGTATCAATCTTCGTGGCGAATACTTCGAAAAACAATAAAGTCATTTAAAACTACCTACCGTGTTGTTTTATTTCCATATGCAAAACTTAAAAGGTATCCCTCGTACTATATGAACACGTGCTTACCCAAAAAAAGTTCACAGATATTATGAAATGATACACAATGTTAAGGAAAATCTCCGAAAATCGTAATGAAACTTTAAAAATCGAAAGAATTTGACAAGACAAATCAAAATCTAGTTCTGGCGCGGCGTTTGTTTTAATATTAATACAAATCAAAACGATTCATGATTTGGCAACATTGCAGCTAAGGGAAAAATTGATAGTGATGGTGGTCTAGTGATTGGAATCTTTATCTTACATAAAAGAAACGATTACTTAACAATAGTTTATTTTAATCATAAAAATAATACAAAATTGCTTTATTGCTATGAATATTGTCACAGTACTATACATTATATTTCATATTCTTATAACTTAGAGCATTCTTTTGTGCAAAAAGCAAAAAAACAGCGTATAAAACAGTATTCTATTCTTGTGTATTACCACCAAAAATGCAACTTTGAAGTTCTATAAAATAGCATGCAGAGGGTTCCTTAAAGAAAAAATGACATTTTCGTGAAAGTAACATCCTTATCTTTCATTTTAAAATAAATTAAATATTTGCGATATACGCTAAAGTATAGTTCAGCCGATTTTTTGTATCATAGCAAAGACTCTAGACGAAGTTTTAACAACAAAAGAGAACTTAAAATCGGTTGAAACATTTGTGAGTTACGATGTCACAAATATACGCACAGATTAATCCTCTGCGACTAGGTTGATCTTTTTGTTGTAAAAAAAATGGAGATAGGCGATAGGGCGAGGACGTCGAGTCATATCGCCCAAGGGAGAAGATAAGGCGGTTTGAAAATTGTCAAAAACGCTTGCTTTGAGTTTTATTGTATCGGCAGAGGGCATCCATTACGTTCAATTCGGTTTTTGATAACTTTTAAACCCAATTTGCTTCAATAGATCTAAGTCTAGTTAAGAAACCGCAGTGATAAAATTGATAAAGTAATTTAAAAGAGAACATTTATTCTAATTCAGACCCACTGCTTTGCTGTGTCCGAATAAATCTGATAAATATTATTTTTTAATACTTTCATCATTGGCACCGTAGTAACTTTGTGTGATAACACTGGACAACAAATTTTAGTTTTTTAATTGTATCTTGTGGGAAAAGTGCACTTCTTTGTTAATTTTGGGGCGCTGAATCCAAAAATGACAATGAAATAAAAAAATTAGTTGCGCTTTAGAAAAAAACTTTTTATTTTTAAGGATATATTAAAAAAAGTAACAAGACTCATATACTTATAAGAATCACTATATGCGCTGTCTTTTGCTGTTCTTTTATGGATCGTTTCTGGGGCATCTCTACCAAGAGTCCAACAGTAGTCTGCAAGCATGGAAGGATTCCACTTTCCCTGGTACCTTTTTTCCATTGTTGAAATATCCTGATGAAAACGTTCGCCGTGCTCATCACTTACGGCTCCGCAATTGTTAGGAAAAAAGTCCAGGTGTGAGTGTAGGAAATGTATCTTAAGAGACATATTACAGCCCATCTTTTGATACGATGACAGCATATTTTTGACAAGGGTTTTATAGTTGTCAGCTTTTCTATTTCCCAAGAAATTAGTGACCACCAGACGGAAATCATTCCAAGCAGTTTTTTCAATACCTGTTAAAGTGTTTTCAAACTGTGTATCTTTCAAAATATTTCGAATCTGTGGCCCAACAAAAATACCTTCTTTAACCTTTGCCTCACTTAGTCTTGGAAATTTCTGACGCAGGTATTAAAAAGCTGACCCATCTCTATCTAATGCCTTGACAAAGTTTTTCAACTTGATATGCAGTGGTGGTAATAAAGTTTTTTTCGAATCTACTAATGGCATATGCTGTACATTTTTTTGACCTGGCTCTAGGAATTGACGAACAGGCCAGTTTTGTCTGGTGTAATGAAGTGCCTTTGCCCGACTGTCCCATTCACACAAAAAACAGCAAAACTTTGTGTAGCCTAGCTGGAGCCCAAGTAAAAGTGCAACTACTTTCAAATCGCCACAAATATGCCATTGGTGCTCATCGTATTTTATGCATGTCAATAGGTACTTCATATTGTCATATGATTCTTTCATGTGAACTGCATACCCTACAGGAAGAGATGGTAAAATATTTCCAATATGCAATAACACTGCCTTTAAACTCAATGTTGAACTGTCTATAAACAATCTCCATTCTTCTGGGTTATAGTTTATATTTAAAGCCGCCAGTAAGCCGTTAATGTTACTGCAGAAAACCAAGTTATTCTCTATATTGAAAAATGGTTCTAAGTCTTTGTGGCGTTTACGAAAAACACATACCGAAACATCGTCTTCTAACAAGTTCCACTGCTGCAGTCTTGATCCAAGTAACTCTGCCTTACATTTTGGAAGTTCTAAATCTCTTACAAGATCATTTAATTCTGACTGTGTTATTTTGTGCGGTTGGTGGCATGACGTGCTCGGTATAAAATCAGGATCTCTTGACGTTGATGGCATATCTTCTTCCTGACGAATCACTCGATCGCCATGATCTGATTCGTTTTCTGATTCGCAAGTGTAGGATTCTGGGGGTTTTGGAATAGGATTTTCGTCACTGTGAGGCACAGGTCTCATCGCAGATGGTATGTTTGGGTAGTTAATAACCGATTTTTTTTTCTTGGACATACCTGTGGCTTGTCCAACACAAGGTACCATGCAAAAGTAACAATCATTAATATGATTTGTAGGCTCTCTCCAAACCATTGGGACAGCAAAGCGCATAGACCGTTTTTTGCCATTTAACCAGCTCCTCAGACTTGAAGCACATGTATTACAGCAGATGTGGAATGCCCACTATTTGTCTTGATCACCTAGTTTACAACCGAAATAAAGCTGATATGCCTTTGTTATTAGTGGAGTAATAGACCGTCTCTGAGACGCAAAAGTCACATCACCACACACGTAACAAAACTGATCTGGATTGTTTACACACTTTCGAGACATCTTGCATGAACGCTGTCAGCCAACTGAGGAAAAAATGGCTAATATAAAACAATATAATGTACACGTATGTATAACGTAACACAATCATGCCGATTACATCATCTTTCCTTGCCGAATATAAAAATGTAGCACGTGCATTCTTGTGAATTACAGTATATTAACACTGTCACAGCAGGAACACATATAATTACCGTATCTCTAAAACTTGAACTAATATTGAAAAAATAAGTTTCATTCCGGTTTTAGCACATTAAAAATAGTAATATTTTGTTGATTTTATTTAGGATATTTTTTGGCTGTTGATCAGTGTAATTTCATCAAAATCCCAGCGGTACCTCTCAAGTTATAGGCGGTTATAAAATTAGCGTACAGACGGACGGATAGACTGACGGAAATGAGTGACATGGTTTTTCGTGATGTACAGGTCACAGATATACCCATGACCACAACAACACTGAACACATGATGCTCCTCCACCACGTTGGTTGCGATTCTTTACACATATTACAAGGTTTATGACCGTGGAATGATACAATAATTGATGTGGAGATATGTAATTTAACGATGTACGACATCAATTGATAACAATTCGTTCATTTGCGGTAACATGCTATTCAGATTCACGATAACTAGCTTGGATCTGATAATAGTACTGCTCTCCCGTAATTAAGCTTTAATAAAATCTATGTTTTAAGTCGCATTATCGATCATTGAGCAAAAAATCTTTGAGGAAATGAAACATCCATTATAATATTGGTATTTCTCAACAAATTTAGAAATTTCATTTTGCGTTTCTTAAAAAAAATAATGAAAATATATTTGCAGGAATATTAAGTTTTACTTTAGTGAGGTTCATTGAAAATGAATTTCCTCCATATTTTTGTGTATAACATATAAAAAGCTATGAAATGAGCGAATGACTGATAGGCTGGGGGAATGATTTTTACAACAATTTGATGCTGAATTGCAATAAAAGACATAAGTTAATTTATAATTAATAGATGTATTGAGATTTGTTTTATACTTTAAAGGGCACATCCTCGTATTTTCATCACCCCTAACTTTCAGCATTTTGGAGCTAACTTTACGAGTACAGTTCTTTTTGTTTTTGTTTTTGAAAAAATGTTTATAGCAATTTGTGTCTTCTAGACTTATTGCAGCTTCAACATGTAATATTTTTTCTTTTCTCCATGTTTACTTCCAAGATCTTCATAGATATTCTTGAGGTCCGTTGGCAGTGCTTCTCCGAAAATGAGTCTTTTTCTTGCAACGTCAGGAACTTGTATATTCTTTAAAAGCGAAGACACTTTAGTTGCTGGAGAGTTTGGGTCAGTATGTTTAGTTTTCAATCTCAAACACCTCTTCTTATATTTTTCGCTAAGCTTGACTGCGTTCCTTACTTTATTTTAATATCTTTTAATCTTCGCGTACAGAATAGTTCGCCGCTTGCGCATTCTACGTCTATTTAGAGCAGGCAAATTCTCTGCTCTGTGCTGTAAAGATGTTGCAGGACTTGGTGGGGGTGTGTCATCAACTATTCTCTGTAAATTTGTTTGTAATGTAACTCGCTTTTCCCTATAAACTTTACTATTAATTTTCCATTCATTCGTTATTGGCTAGTTTCTCTTGCACTCATGGGACTTATTGACTTAACTTCTTCTTTAAATACTTTAATCTTTCTTTTTCACGCAGAATTTCTAAAGACTCAGCATTAATTTTCATTTGTTCTAGCCTCTTTCTATCGTACACCCTTTTTAATTTCTTTTCTTTTTCACCCAACTTCTTCATTTTCCCCATTCTTGACATACGGGTATGTATTAAAATCGAAAACTCATGCTATGCAACCTGGAGTTAAACAATAACTTCCAAATCACAATTTTATATATGCAACATTCATTCCCTCATATAATTTTCATTGCCTCTCTTTCTAATCTAGTGAGGGAATAACCGTGAGGGAATGACGGATTTGCATAAACG